TAGATGCTGTTTGTTCAGACGTACTTTTTTTTATGTTAATTTAATACACTAAAATTAAAAATAAATTTAAAAAAATATTATTTTGATATATTTTTAAATTAAATAATTTAAAAAACCAACAGCTAATATGATCTATGTTCAAACCGAACAATTATGTGGTAAATATCCGCTTAACCTCCCAAAGACAAATAATATCTACTTGCTTGATAATGGTCGAATGAATGCTGTTATAAAGAACTGCATTGCCATGATCGATGCGTTCAACTCTCTGTGTGCTAATTGCTAGGTTAGGAATTGAAATGATAAACAAGCATCATCAACTTGTATTTTTCATACAACAAAGCACTCACAGCAAAAATAATCTTCCAAGATTTTATCACATTATAGAGCCAAAAGGTTCCAAACTCTGCTTGCTCATTTACCTCACTGCTTCAAAGCAGCAAGCTGTGACTTTAACCTTCAACTCTTCTAGATAATAGATTGCTCCTTCTGAAGTCCTGAAGCAGGACCACCAAGGTTGCACCTCCCACAATGTATTTCAAAATAGCCGTGGCTCTCAAGCATAAAATCTACATTATAATGTGAGATGTAATTTTCCCCATGAAGTAGAAAAGGTGTTCCACAGTGAGCAGAAATGCAAGACTCATGGTTCTTCGTCTGAATCAAATATATCTAATTCAATCATCTTTGTTGTCCCCTGCTTGACTTTGTCTACGGAAGCTTGCCCCTGAACGGTTTTCTTTCTTTTTAAATCTGGTTGGTTTTTTGTGACCGTAGATGGATCCAATTTCTTCGTAGATGATTTCCTGAAGAATGACGCATAAATGTTCAATGGCATAGAAAGACAAACTCAAGTGCAAAAATCAGAAATGTGTGGTCGATGGCATCAAATAAATGATTGACCTTTTCTCTGAACTATTTACTTGTCTGTTTTGCGTGGCGGATACTTTATCTGAATTTTTTGAACAAAGTTTTCCTGCAAATACCAAATAATGAGAATTCAGGCGATGATATAAAATCAACATCAGCAGGTAAGGCCACTGATCTTAAACCTGTGATTTCATTGAGGAACCTTATCCCCTGTGAGTGTGAATTTGTCGTCACTTTATCTGCATTGCTGTTGTTCAAGTACAATAATGAACGAATTAACAGCAATTAAAAAGGTCGCAGTTTTAACACAGATAATGAGCATTAAGCATGCATCTATGACAAACCTCAACGCTCTTTTGAGTGCCTCCACAGACAATAATTTCACTGGCTGTGTGGGCTTTTTTAATAATGTTTTGTCTGCTAGAGGGTCGACCAAGTAAATGCCTCGTGACTTGAGAGGATCCCTGAAGGCTGTTATAATGCTTTGTCTGCTAGAGGGTCGACCAAGTAAATGCCTCGTGACTTGAGAGGATCCCTGAAGGCTGTTTTCAAGTTCCTGACAAACGAAAATTACAACTTGCGATAAAAACGTCTTTTTTTATGGGAGTGGAGAAGTCAAATTTAAAACAAAGGTTGGTGTTGATCACATACCCTCCCTTAAGCTCAGTTCGCACTGTGGAAAACCTCTCTGATGCTTTCTGTAGCAGCAAAACAGGTATAAGCAAGTCCATTCTAAAGACATGTTGATCAAAATATATAGCAGCACTGGAGAGTCATACTTACAGAGTTATGATACCTGCAATACATCCCTTGACGTCTAAAACAGCAAAGTGACCAGCGTCAGACAAGAATCAGAATTGCATGCATTTTTACATATAAACTTTGATACAAGAACACGAAACCTTACAATTCTCAATATGAAACTAGGTGCTGCTATATAAGACAAAGGACCATATCAAACTTGACTGTGATTGCAGATAAAACTTTCTTGACTGTTGTTCAGGAAAGTTGTATAGTCCTTATAGAATTCGGGTGGAGAAAACTTGTACGAAATTTCATAATGCTATAGAAAGTGACATGATTTTAAAGATGCTGAAACGTACTTATTTATGACTAGTGTACAAGGTAACCCATCCTTCCTTTTTCCCTTGCAAACTCCATAATCAATTGAAGTACCCATCTTCAATATTTGATTTGCAGAGAACACGCTCAAAGAAAAACCAGTTCCCTACAAAGTAAGAAAATGGAAGATTTTATTTCTTTTAGGAAAAAGACAAGTAACCTCGCAGGACCAAAAGAATGCGAAAAGCTGATGATACCACATTGTCCTTGCGAACAGTGCAATTAAACAGTGCAAAAACTGTCCCCGCTTGCTCTTTACAGTTCTGCTGATAAGCATCGCCAAACAGGAAAAGAGATACACTGCTTTCGTCTAAAGAACCAAATTTCCATATGCAATAGTTCTTCCCAACAGAACTAGTCTTTGGACTTCCCTTCTCAATCAACACTCCAACAGTTGCCCAACATCCCATTAGAGTGTCTCCCATCAATAAATTTCTACAAAACCATATAATAGAAATCATAAGCCATGATGCAATTCGAAATTCAATTAATCCATTCAACAGATTCACTGTAACGAAGTAAATGGCTTCAAAAATCACAACTGTTTAACACACACACGCACATAATGATTTGAGGTACAATAAAATTACTTAATAGTTGGTAACCGAACAAAGCGAATTTCTGAGAAACGCTCGCTGAGCTCCACAGCAGTGACCGATTGATTCCTGAAACAGAAATTAATACATTGAACATAAAACATAATTAGCCAGCTTCTAAGGTTTTATCAATTCAATTTTAGCTTCCATTTGGTCACTTTGAAAGGAATATAAGTCCATTAGTGTCAACTCTTCTCTCTGGCAAGGGAATGGTATAAACTATATAATTAAATAATTAAACTTATCTCATAACACGAATAGATTAATAAACAGTCAACTTTAACCACCCAAATTATTTATAAAAGGCACATTTGGGTAAAAAATTTAATAGCATTAGTATCTCAGACGGTAAACTAAGTATTAATTATCATTTAAATGCATTTATTTATAGTTGGATAAAGCTACCTTATTCTTAAACCTGAATACTTCTCCACATTAGCCTCAGTGGAGTTTTTCAAAACATTCAATTTTTTTCCAGCTTTCACCACTGGTTTTGGCTCATAATCAAGACAATCTTGAACAGCATCTCTAAACACTGACAAATCAGCCTCCCCTTTTCGCCTCGGTGATCCATCATCCGATAAATACCCTTCACAACCAAGACAAATCAATAGATAACCCACAATAAGTTCTCTAAAAATACAACACTATCAAACAACCATTACCAGCCCCATAAACAAAATGAGAGATGGACGAGGCAAAATTTAGCAAACAAGGTCACAACAAAAACACCCTGATTGATTTTTATCAGAAAGTAACCACCCCATTAGAGAATTTAAAAAACCTATTAGCCCAACAAACAATGATAGACTAGTACACACAAAAATCTGCAAATTTAGAAAGGAAAAAAAGAGATGCCCACATTAAAATTCTACCAAACAAAGACAAAATCAACCGCCTTTTAAAAAAAAAATGAACTTTATTTGTTAAAACTGAAGTTTAGCAATACACATTAATACTGCCCACTATATACACACAAAAATATAGAAATCCTGTAAATAGGCTAAACTAAGAGAAACCCACAATGAAGATCAACATAACAAGAAACGAAGAAGCGAAAGCTTCAATATTTCTTACAGGTTATTAAAAATGATTGAAACTTTCACTGCTTCCACAAATGAATTTAAACAGCACCAAATGAATCCTAAAAACATATAGTACCTGGTGAAAGGGAATGGTGATTTGAAGGGGAACCAGGAGGGGTTTCAAGAACTCTGTCTTGAAGAGAGAGGAGAAGGTCAAGATCTTCTTGGTGACTACTTGACATTATTGTTGATTTTCTCTTGTCTGGAGTGATTTTTGGTGGTTTTGTTTCTCTAATTTTTGTGGGAGGGAAAGTTTATTTTGGGAGGGAAAGGAAGTGAAAACAAAAATGAAAATCCGGTGCCGTTTCTGCTTTCTTGTCTAATGGCCCTAAATTCGGATTTAAAAAAAAGTTTTTTCTCTTTTTTATATCAATTTATGTATTTTTATTCAAGTAACTCCATGACATGCTAAATAAGAGACTAATAAAATAAAGGAGTCAAAACCCATTTAAGTGGTCAAAACATGAAATTGATATATATCATTCTTTTGTTTCAATAAAATTCATATTTGTACATGAAAAATGAAAAAAAAAGGCCTTTTATTTAAATCTAAAATAATCACATGGAGAATTATCATCATAATATAAACTATTTTAATTAAGTCCAAATTTTGGATTAACTTGTGATGCCAAGCTAGGATAATAATTATATTAAAAATAGTTTATATTGAATAATTTCACCTCATTTAACCCAATATTATTTTTCCTTTGTACTTAATTCAAATTTGAGTGTGCTGAATGTTATAAAGAGTGTATTTAACAGTGCTTCAACCGTGTTTTTTTTTTATTAATTTTTTTAGTTGAAATTATTATTTTTATTTGTTTTTTATTATTTTGGCACGTTAATGTCGGAAAAAAAAATTTAAAAATTATTTTAATATATTTGTAGATAAAAACTCGTGAAACATGAGTTTTTAATGCGTCATAAATTTAGTAGTCAAACGTTCACCTTCGAAATTCCATGAGCCATGAGGTGTCACTAGCCAATTCAAACAACCATCAAAGCAATAGCAGACAGTAGCATGAAACTCTCAACATAAGACGGTCACGACCATTACTTTAAAACAGCAGCCTATAAAACATGCCTTTGTCCGGATTTTCCTCTGTGACCATCTTGTCCGAATTTTCCTCTGTGACCATCTTTTAACCTTTCGTTTCTCTCTATACCATTGGCATCATCAAATACCTGCATTTCCAGCTGCTGGGTACCTCCTTCTTCGTAAACCGAAGAGGAGCGTATACCCAAATATTGGCTCTTCCTACAGGAAAAAACAACACAGCTTCCTTCTTTTATTTCTTGGAGTTTTGGTTATATAAGAGAGGTAAACATGGCAGGCAAAAAACATGTTTTTTTAATTGCTACACTTCTTTCCTTGTTGGTTTCTTCAGTCGTTGCACATGGGGGTAAGCAAGTAGGCGTGACTTATGATGAAAGGTCCTTGATCATCAATGGCAAAAGAGAGCTTCTCTTCTCTGGCTCCATTCACTATCCTCGCAGTACTCCTGATGTAATAATAATGTTCTTTACTATCTGGATTATTATACATTTTTTTCATTTTAAAAGGATAGGACTAATCTGTTGTGTTGAATCTGGCTTCAGATGTGGCCAGAATTAATCCTGAAGGCTAAGCGTGGAGGTTTGAATGTGATCCAAACTTATGTCTTTTGGAACATTCACGAGCCGGAGCAAGGCAAGGTAAGAGACCAGTCTTGTGATCAATATCTTGACCGACTGTTTTTCTGTCTGCAATTAGCATTTGTTGGGCTAATTTTGATTTATGTTTGTTATTGTAGTTTAACTTTGAAGGACCATATGACTTGGTGAAGTTCATCAAGACGATTGGGGAGAATGGTATGTTTGCAACCCTCAGGCTTGGACCATTCATCCAGGCTGAATGGAACCATGGGTATGATTCAGCACCGTGTCTTCTTTCTTCTGATCATTTCATTTTTTATTTTGCTACATCAGTTTATCTGTATCTCTCTTACACATTGTTTTCAATGTGATCTCTTAGAGGACTTCCATATTGGTTGAGAGAGATTCCAGACATCATATTCCGTTCCGACAACGCACCCTTCAAGGTACTAGCATCGCCCCATTGCATAAAAAGAAGTTTCTGAAATAATTAACCAGATTATTTGACAAATAGTTTCAAATTTTGCAGCATCATATGGAGAAATTCGTTACGAAAATCATCGACATGATGAAAGAAGAGAAGTTGTTTGCATCACAAGGAGGCCCCATTATCTTGTCTCAGGTTTGATTCCACTCTAATAGTCACAACCTCCATATCTTTTATTTTTACCATTTAACCTCTCATCCAATTTTTTTTGTTATTTTTTATATTGTAATGCAGATTGAGAATGAGTACAACACTGTCCAGCTTGCATATAAAAACTTGGGAGTTAGCTATATTCAGTGGGCAGGAAATATGGCTCTGGGGCTGAACACTGGAGTCCCATGGGTCATGTGCAAGCAGAAGGATGCACCTGGTCCAGTGGTAAGCTAACAAGGTTTTCCTTGAATCAAATTCCTAGTCCAAGAGGACTGATATGCAAATTATAATGAAACAATAATGCCTTATTGTGCAGATCAATACATGCAACGGAAGGCACTGCGGAGATACATTCACAGGCCCTAATAAACCCAACAAGCCATCTCTATGGACCGAGAACTGGACTGCTCAGTGAGTATAGACCTTGAAGATTAGCACTGAATCATTCAGAAGCATTAATGTTCCATACAAAACAATCTGTAAATTCTAGATATGAAAAAAGGAAAAAAAAATTGAAAGAACAAGATAGAGAAGCAAATGAAGCTATGATGCTAACAGAATTCCAATGAATGCTAACAGGTTTAGAGTTTTTGGAGACCCCCCATCCCAAAGATCAGCAGAAGATACTGCATTTTCTGTTGCTCGCTGGTTTTCAAAGAATGGTAGTCTAGTTAACTACTACATGGTAAGGAGAATGGTGAAATCTCCGTAACTTCTTCCAACAAGAGAAATTTTCTTCTGTGAAACATTTTAATTACTGTGTTTGCAGTATCATGGTGGGACAAACTTTGGTAGAACGGCTGCCTCATTTGTAACAACCCGTTACTACGATGAAGCTCCTCTTGATGAATATGGTAAGGTTTAAAATCTTTAAATCTATGATGCAGCCAGAAGCGAAGATCCTTCAAATAACTAATAGGCAAATAACTAATAGGCCTTTCATTCCATGTCTTGCAGGTTTGCAGAGGGAGCCAAAATGGGGTCACCTCAAGGACCTGCATAGGGCTCTAAATCTATGCAAGAAGGCTCTTCTATGGGGAAACCCCAATGTTCAAAAGTTGTCTGCTGATGTAGAGGTAAGCAACTAAGCATCTACGAGAGATTTTAACTCCATTCCAGAGTTCCCCTTGCAACCACGTAAGAAATAAGATGGTTCAGCTCCAAAAATAAATGAATATAGTTCCTTAATCTGTCTTACTTTACAGGCTAGGTTCTATGAGCAACCAGGAACAAAGGTTTGCGCCGCTTTCTTGACCAGCAACAACTCAAAAGAAGCAGAAACTGTTAAATTCAGGGGTCAGGAGTATTACCTGCCTGCTCGTTCCATTAGCATCCTCCCAGATTGCAAGACTGTCGTTTATAATACCATGACGGTAATTCCTAATCTCTTACATTTCTCCATTGATAATTGCTTATAACTAACTACAGGAGGGGCCCCTAAAACAGGTCGACAGCCGCTAAATAATTCCTTCATTTTTTTCATGTCAAACAGGTTGTGTCACAACATAATTCAAGAAACTTTGTGAAATCAAGAAAAACAAACAAACTGGAATGGAAGATGTACTCAGAAACAATTCCAGCTCAGCTTCAAGTAGATTCCAGCTTGCCAAAAGAGCTTTATAACTTAACTAAAGATAAAACTGACTACGTCTGGTTCACCACAACGTGAGTATATAAGCTTATTTTTAGCCTATCCATCAGCAAATAGATGAATGCTAACAGGAGTTACCTCGTGATTCTACTGAAACCAAACCCTGACGTGTTTCTGTAAATTCTAATTCCAGCATAAATGTGGATCGCCGTGACATGAACGAGCGTAAACGTATTAATCCAGTCTTAAGAGTTGCAAGTCTTGGCCATGCGATGGTTGCTTTTGTAAATGGGGAATTCATAGGTAATTATCACAAACACATCATAATTATTATAATTTTGAGCATGCTTTAGTAACAAGATTTTCTTGAGGTAACTGTGGTTAATGTTTTCAGGTTCTGCGCATGGGAGCCAAATTGAGAAGAGCTTTGTCCTCCAGCATTCGGTGGATTTGAAGCCTGGGATTAATTTTGTTACACTCTTAGGAACTCTAGTTGGACTCCCAGTAAGTAGCTATCGTAACTAACAGATGTTCAGAATTTGGAAATGAATTTTAGAGTTGAAACTGACGCGAGTTTCTCCTTGTCAATGAAGGATAGCGGAGCCTACATGGAGCATAGGTATGCTGGACCTCGCGGTGTATCAATCCTAGGTTTGAACACTGGAACGCTTGATCTGACATCCAATGGCTGGGGACATCAGGTATGGATGGGCCTTGTATAAATATGGAATACTCAATCAAATTCATCAAAGAATAACATCACAATGATAGCAAATTAGGGCTAATGTGGATTGCATGATCCCAACTTGCAGGTTGGCTTGTCAGGAGAGACGGCTAAATTGTTCACAAAGGAAGGTGGGGGGAAGGTAACATGGACAAAAGTCCAGAAGGCAGGACCTCCTGTTACATGGTACAAGGTAATGTTGGGATATCATTTGTCCTAGCGATCAATCTTTAAATTTAACGTCTCAGGTATCACTTGGAAACGAACTGGTTTCTTGGCTTTCCAATAGGCATCATATTTTCTTGTTGCAGACTCACTTTGATGCTCCTGGCGGAAAATCCCCTGTTGCTGTCCGGATGACTGGCATGAACAAGGGTATGATTTGGATCAATGGTAAGAGCATTGGTCGATACTGGATGACTTACGTCTCCCCTCTTGGAGAACCTACTCAATCAGAGTAAGTAAAGCAATGTTTCTTAATTATCCAAAGCAAAAATTCTTCAAATAAAAAAAAAAGGACTTGTTATCAATCTTTGCTTGTAAAATTAGGTACCACATCCCAAGATCTTACTTAAAACCAACAGACAACCTGATGGTTATATTCGAGGAGGAGGAAGCAAACCCTGAAAAGATTGAGATCTTTACTGTCAATAGAGATACTATCTGCAGCTACGTGACTGAATATCATCCACCAAGTGTGAAATCATGGGAAAGGAAGAATAACAAATTCACACCTGTTGTGGATAATGCAAAACCAGCAGCTCACTTGAAGTGTCCAAACCAGAAGAAGATTATCGCCGTGCAGTTTGCAAGCTTTGGTGATCCTTTGGGTGCCTGTGGAGGCTATGCTGTTGGAACTTGTCATTCACGGGTCTCCAAACAAGTTGTTGAAGAGGTAATTCTTTAATATTTTTTTCTTGAAAAAATATTATATCATCTGTCAGGGCTATGTATAGCTAACTGGTAAGAGACTAATGAGATTTCTACTTGAATCTGAGCAGCATTGCTTGGGAAAAACTAGCTGTGATATCCCTATTGACAAGGGACTTTTTGCTGGCAAGAAAGATGATTGTCCAGGTATCAGCAAGACACTAGCAGTTCAAGTGAAGTGCAGCAGTAAGGATCCCAAGCGTTCTGCTAACTAGGCTTCAATGTTTTTTGTGATCGTGTGCCAAGGCAATTTTATTGCGGTTTCAAGCACATGTAGACTTGAGCATTTTCATTCTTGAGATTTTCCCTTTAGTATGTTGATTAGGTGCTTAAAATAAATAAAATTTGAAATTTTCTTCTGAGAAGGCTGCAGAAAATCATGTTGATGAATGTTTAAATTTTCAATGGCTGCAGAAAAGCAGAAAATTATACTATGTGTGAATAAACATTACAGAACAAACATTGAATATGGCCAGTATTGTCATTCGTAGATAATGCTAAGGACTAATACAAGATGAGCACCTATACTTCTGAATACATATTGGCCTGTGGCCTTGGACTCTAAAGGGCATCTAAAATTCAACCTACAGCAAGTGGAATATCCACAGCTACAAGACCCAAACTCTATGCATAAACCCAAACCCAAATCAGTCTAAACCCAACAAAACTAGACTATTCATTTAAAAACAAAGATTGCAAGAGAAATTTATGTTCCTCTCTCTCTCTTTTCTTTTTTGTTGTGATCCACTCCTTAAAAAATATAAAGGTTGAAGAAATAAATAAGTATTTTTTCTGTTATTTTCTATTATGATTTATTTATGAAAAAATTAGTAAGGAGATTAGGTTTTTGTTATGATTTTGATAATTAGATAATTTAGGAGTTTAAATTGATATATTTGGATGTTAGTTGGATTAAAATTGACCGATTTGATATTTGCATTATGAGTTTGTTGAAGAACAAGAAGTTTATTTTAGAGATCTGCAATTTTAAAGATTAGCATATTAGAAATTTTGGGAATCCTAATCAACTGGTCGATCAATTTGCTTGTTGTTGTTGTTGGTCGACCAGTTAGTCTAAATCAACTAGCTGGTTGGCCAATGATGGTGGTCAACCAGTTGATTCGATAATAGAGTTTTATTTGGTTTGTTAAACTCGATCAAATTGGATTATGTTTAAAATCGATCATGTGAAATAGTTCGACCTTATATTTCTATTTTGTTCTCTAAACTTAGAATTTTAGTTTTTTATGTTAATTTGCTTCGAGTTGTTTTTTTGTGTTTTTCATTTTCGTTAGAAGTTCTGCTAACATTCTTTCTAATGATCTTTAGTAGTCTCCGTTTTATTTTGCATCCATTATCTTTTATTTTTGTTTTCTAGGTAATGAGATTATCTTTAATATGCATGTAAGATAAATAAATATGTATGTTGATTATATGATAAGTACAACTAGTTAATTTATTGAATATTTATATATGTTACTTTATTTTTGAAGTACTTATCCATTCTTAAATTTGCACTCACATTTGATTGAATCAAATTCTATTCGATATGGTATACATTAATTTGATAATTATGTGAGTATTTATTATGTTTTGATATCGTATAATTGTTAATAATTTCATGCTAATAAAAAATAGTTAATCTATATGCACATAATATTTAATATACCTAATTGGTAAGATAAACATCGATCTGTGACCACTAATCCTCCCATAGTGGTTATTTTCGAGTGTCATCTAATTTTTATTATGTATTTCACTACTTTATAATAATATATTTAATATATATATTTATACTAAGATATATCAACTTGCAAACTATCAATATCCAAGATATATGTTAAATAGTATTTTCTTAATGAATTAGTTGAACTCATTCTTTCTCTTTAATATTATTTTAAGTTCTTAGTCTTCGTTAGCATATAGAGTTTGTTGAATGTTTCTACTTTTTTAGTTTTGATTAGTATGTCTTTCCTTATTCTATAAGGCTTTCTTTTTATTTTTAATTCATTGTCTTAAATGTTTTATTATTATCCTATTTTAATTAAATTTGAATTTTAATAATATAATAAGTATTATGAATTATTTGTTTTGCTCTGAGGATGAGAATTTTTAAAATATTATTTAATTTTATTAATTTTAAATAATATAATATTTTGAAAGATATTAATACACTATAAAATCTTTATATAATTTATTTTATGATATATATATTTTGAGACTTGACGCATCCTGCGTGTCATTCCAATAGCACTCCTGGGTCATGAGATTCACTTTTTGAAAACAGCATGTTATAAATTTGAAGTTACAAACTTTCAATGTATTAGACATTTCTCAATTGAAATTTTGCTTTTACAAGTAGAATTATTTTATTTTAATTTTTCTAGATAAATTTTTATTTTGAATACAAATAGTTTTTTACACACACAATTACGGATGAAGATCAGAAATGCTTTGTAAATTCAGATGCAAAGCCATTTTCTTGAAAAATAATTAACAAAAGTAATGGTGAGAACCGGATTCGTTAGTTTTGAAGCTCGGAGCTAGAGTGTGGTTAGATTTTATTTAAGTATATAAACGTAATTATTAGTATTATTTTTTAGCCATATATGTGTCTGTCAAATAATTAATATACAGGAAGGATATTTTGGAAATATATGTTAACATATAACTCAAAATTCTCTCGTTTCCATAAAGCAAAGTTATTAAACTTTGAGAAAGTGTATAACTCCATTAAAAGTCCAATGAGTTGATATGAATTGATTTAAATTAATTAAAACATATTAATATAAAAAGAAAATTATTTTTTAAAATCACACCAAGTTGTAATTAAATCAACTAAATTAATTAGATTAAATCAGATATATTCTAAGCTGATTTTTTTAAAACCCGACCTGAGACCTTAATGTAAATTAATTCGCTAGAACTTGTACGGTTTGGATGCCATTCATGTAATAAAAAACAAAAAGATATCTTCCTTGAAGCTAATTTCATATTCCATTTATTGTTACCTTTTCGGGGTGTACTTCATCATATTCCATAAATTTCTTCTCACTTGCCTGCTGATCTATAAACACTGGTTAAAGTAGGTTACATTAGAAAAACGAAAACGATAATAATCATCCTCACTCGTTTCCAGCAACAGATGACTAGAAGACAAAGAATTGCATTGCTCTTGCTCTTGCTCTTGCTCGTAGCATCTCTTTAGTCTCTCTATTTCTCTCTTTAGGTTTACATCAAGGAAGATAGCGTGGTTTGTATAACGTGAAGGTGTAACTTCTTCACACGCTGAGAGCGTAGAGCCTACATTTGCCTTGTGCTGGTTATATATAGTTCGGAACAGTTGTGCAAATGAAGAAGCCAGTGCAGTTCGGGGGATTTTGACTTTGATGACAAAAACAAAGACCAAAACTGGTATTGACAGATGTTACGTCATGCTTTTAAGTATGGGTGGGTTTATGACATGCACGGATCATGTTAGGGATTAGATGGTTATTTACCTCATCCGAATGCATGGGAATTTCATGCAACTTACGGATCGGACGCGAATATCAGCTCCAAAACTCTTGTTGTTTGTGAGGGATTTTGGTGATGATAAACGCAGGCCTGCCTTGTCTAGGAGTAACGAAGTTCAGACACAGGTTCCTACTTCAACCAACCACGATGCACAAGAGTGACATGCAGATTCAGAATTCCAAATCCTCTCTCCCTCTACTGTTAAAATCATATAGCGGTGGAGACTGGACCCTCAGACATAAACGGACAGTGCATAGACAAAGTAAACAGAAAGGTGAGAATGGATGGGGTACTTGACTACAATATAAGATGAAGGAATCACGAGAGGCCACAGCCATCTAAAATGTACTTTGTTATTTGTTTCGTTTGATTTCACCTCCCGTTTCTTGCATAACAAAAAAAAGAGTTTTTGAATTTGATAATATAACTTACAAAATACATTTCAAAACAAAAAAATGCAAGAAGTAAAATAAAACAACAAAATTACGAAAAAAGGGATGGGGGTAGAAATATTTCAATGTTTATTTTGCCATTCCCACCATTACTTGAAATACATGTATATTTCATTCTATCGGACAAGAAAGTTAAGTAGAAAAAAATTGAAATTTTTCTATTTATTTACAAGAATTAGCAACTGAACACGCCTCCACATGTTCCTTCTTTACAGCATGAAAATGCAGCAGCAACCAACCTGAAAAATTTAACCCGCAAAATTTAAGGAACCAACGACATCCTGCCAATGAAGCACCAATAAAATAATTTCATAATCGTAAATATCAGAGGACGTCTTCGATGAGCTGCATGTACAGAGAGTTTAGAAAATAAATGGGTGAGCTATCCAGGCAAACATTCTATCCAGCTGCAATAACAAAAATTTGCCAAGAGCCTCCACAGGAATTTATGACCTGACCTTGATGACATAGCTTAAAGAAGCACCAAAAAGAAGCCTTGTAATCTCAAATGCACCCCGGGAAAAAGTCTGGGATTCTTGTGATGTAAATATACAGAGATTAGATCACCTACTCAAAAATACTCATGACAGATCAAAAGATCCCTGCCCTTCACTGATTGCGTACAGCAATTTCTTGTACATAACTTCCTGTTTAAAGCACAACTATAGTAAGCACCAGAAGATGTAAAAATTCCCAGACATTAGCCATGATACCACTGAGAAATATAGCATAGTTTGCATGATAAGAAAAAATTTGTGAGTTCCATTTTGATAACCAAATACAGTACCTTGGTCGAGTAAGGAGGAAGCTTTAGGTAATTAGCACAAGTCATGACACTAGGCAAGTCGTCATCAGCTGATTCTGAAGGTCCAGTTCCATTTGGCATTGCATTCCCTGCAGATGAAGAATGCTGCATCCAGAAATGCAATTGTTATAGGCAGCTACAGAAAATAAAAGATAGCTTTGACAGCTAAGACATAGAGATGACAATCTTGCTCAAATAAAAGACAACAAACTTAACCATAAAATTTACAGGAAGATGCCATTTAAAAATACATGACAAACTACTGTGTTGCTGCCCCGTGAAACAATACCTGTGCATCATCCCCCACCCAAAAAGAAAAACACGAAACCCACACTGCCCAATAGCTATTCCACATGCTTAAGCAAGTAACGAGGAAAACATTAGAATTTCATTTACCCCACAGCTCATAGTTTATAAATACATATGAAATGGGAATTTTTTAAGACACTAACACCAGACAATTCAATGCGCAGAAAAAAAAAAAAACACAACCAGGGATGATCATCTGATATATCTTACCCAACTTTGAAGGTTGAAAATTTTTTCTTTCTAGTGATCAAGCATTCTATTTTTGCAATTTATAGCATCAATTACCAATTGTAATTCAAGGAGCATGCATAATTCCACTTCATAGGAAAAGGGGGACACAAACAAGAACCTCCAATCAATAACAGTAACCTTTGTTTTTCTTGTGCAAACAAGAAGCACCTCAAATCAATTACAGTACCATACGCATGACTCCATGCATTTTTTTTTCTTGCTCAGGCCACCATGGTCACTATTGCAAAGTACATCATAGTATAAGATTTCACATATCTGTGCACTTGATTTATTTCAACACATGATTTTACAATTCATCTTATGATTGTATTTTATGGAAATCCTAGTTGAAAAGGCATTTTAACAACCTTGCCATGACAGCCTATAGAAGCTCATATATGATTAGTGACATGCAAGCACTACTAAAATGTAATGCACATTCAGCATAGCATGCCCCGAACAGAACATTAAATTGCAACAGATACACAGCTTCAAGGCCATACCTTTCTCACAATGGTTAATTTTGGGTTTAGGACAGCCAGACCTCCAGGTGGTAGCCTGGGTGCCCCAGTAACAAACTGGCAGAATGCACGCTGCTGATCCGGTGTGAACTCTCCCATAATCTCAAGCAGCTATAAACATCGCAACCCCAGCAACAAAACAATCAGATAAGATTAAAAACACAGATGCATATTCTCCAAAACATGATCCTCAAAAATTGAAGTAAAAGACATACGTTAACAATGGCTGGACTCTTGGCAGTGTATCCATGATCAAATTTTATATGATCAACAAGTGTATCAGGCTGCATCAGTCAAAGCATCCAATAAATAATACAGAAAACAAGTTCAAGTCTCATAATGCATAAATGGCTGAAAGAGAGAGAGTTACCTCCCACAACTCTCTGCGACCGCAAAGCAAATAATCCAATTCTTGTGGCGTGAATATTTGCAACGAGGAGATGTCAAAAACCTAATTGTTAAGCAGAAAAGGAATTATTGGAACTCAAAACATAAGAAAAAAGAATGTGATATCCAGAAATCAAGGCAGTTGTAATAGATTTAGGTAACATTGATACATAAACAGCAGATGAATTAAGTATAAATAGCAGGCATCAATCAAATATATACCATCAAGCTTCAAATTTATACAAGTTAATTAAACATCTCAGGCATAAAATTCTCTTTTAATAATTACTGAATTCGTAAGAAACAGATGAAACTGAACCTGATTGAACCCGTCTCTAAATGCTTCCATTTGTCGCGTAATCCCAGTCTTGACAGTTGCGTCAACTACCAAGGATATGAATTCCTCCAAGTTATTGATATCGACCTGAAGGTTATAACAATATTTGAAGAAAAATAAATCATCAGAATGGAGGGCAGTTTAAGCAAGAAATATTACATCAAAATTCAAAAGGATAATGAAGTTAGGATAGGTTCTCTACAGTTTCATCTCCTGGCTTCAAAATGTAGTCTGGATAACCCGGAAGAGTAAAATCCAAGCAGAGATCTTCCACCGGGGTCCCACGAAAATGTAAATCAGCAATGGCTTCGCGATCACTCCCTATTGATTCTAAATAATGTTTCCGACAAACAAGGGCATGCAATTCTTGTAAAGTCTTCCCAAATTCAGCATCAAATGAAAGAATATCATACAGATCAAGTTCCTGCAATTAATAAGAGGATATATATATTTCATCCAACAGACATCACTAGTGGGACAATGAAATCTAGCTAATGTGCAGTAAAATGAAATGGTTCAATAGCCTACTTGACCAAGCACAAGCTTATAAAATGCCATCGAAAGTGGTAGGTCCAAAAGCCGTCCATCTTGAAGAGCTTTGGCCATCACCCGTCCAACCAGCCGGAAATACTCAATGGTCTTATATATTTGGCTCCCCTCAGAAGCACTAGCAGTTGGTGGCCAAGGACGAGGGAACAAACCAAGTGGAGTCTGGACAAGATCTGCAGCAACAGCTTTTCCATTTATGTCATCATCTCCATCAATTTCCATTGAAGGTTTCTCTGCTGCTGAATTTGACCTCCACATTCCAAGAGTGACTTTCTGAAGATCGTGACTCAAAAGTGTGTAGAACTCTAAGGTAGGACCCAACCCTGTGCCGACCTCCCCAAAATATTCTACTTCAAGCACAGCCTTCTGGCTAGAATACATCTCCATTACTTTTGCAGCAGAATCCAAAATACGGTTTCGGGACACACGAACTTTCTGGCGTTGTAATCTTCCAACCCTCACCTCTCTTTCATTCGCCGATCCATGACCATCAGCCCCCTGCTGCTGCTGAAGGCGATACAAAGCACGGGATAATCCAAAAGCGGTTGAATAGAAGTATTGTCGCCGGGTCTCAAAAGGGAACAGGAATGGGCATGCTTTTGTTAATTGATAACACCATGATGGAAGGCTCCCACTGCACAGAGCAAGGGCATCTTGAATTTGTCGAGCTAATTTAGGTGTGAGCTTGCTATTTATGAATTCTTCAGCAGATCCTGAATTTGTCGAGCTAATTTAGGTGTAAGCTTGCTATTTACGAATTCTTCAGCAGGAACCCTGACACCAGTAGCAGTCATCAACTCATCCAAGCTTGAGATCTTTCCCTCAGAAAAGTTGTCAGAAACTAGCTGAACTCTCAGGCGAGGAGCAAGCTGGTTCAAACCCTCAAGTATACGTAGTAGAGCCAATATATTATAAGTAGGATTAGATTTTTCCAAATCACAAGGAAGTTCCGCTTGCAAGATGCTATCTAAAAGTGACATGCGGTGCACTTGGGTATCTGAGTTTGAATTGGAAGAACCACCTTTGATAGACTTTGATGCACTAGAACTTGGGCCCCCAACAGAAGCCCTATCAGCTTGGCCATCTGCCCTTTGATATGTAAGGGTATATATGTCACTCCAAAGCCTGCTCCCATCACTGGAGATAAAATCCCTGCCACCGTACCTGTCTTCGTCGTCCTCTTCCAGAACAGGTTGTCGCTGGATGGCCTGATAGATTGTCAAATGCCTATTTAGTTGCTTCCCACCAGCAGTAAAGATCAACTTTGGAGGGTCACTGGAGCTACTGAACAAGGGACGTCCTTGTCGATCTCTTCCCCCCCTGATGCCTCTGCCATTAGCAGATCCAAGCCCAGCCATGGCGGCGGCGGCAAATGACATAGCTCCCCTAGATCCATAAGAGCTACCACTCCTAAAATCAGTGGAATCCGAGCCCTTGACAGCAACAGCCCTGCTACTCGAACCAGAAGCAGGATTGCTTTGGCTGTCACTTGCTGGTGGTGCAACATTGCTATCCTCTGATGCAGCACCCAGTTTCACATCATGTACCTTTTCAGGCATGCAAACAGGAAGAGAATCATCTCTTAACACCTGGGGGAGAGAGGTATTAATGAAACTAGAAAGTGGTGAAACTTTACTAGGGGCCTTATTGCAATTTAACTCTCTATCAAGAACCAAAACAATAAATTACGGTTGTTGGACAGCAAACGACAGATTGAGTTTGCAAAAAGCAGTATTTGAGGCGAAAAAACTGATTTCCAGTAGTTCCGTAGCCTTTGTAACTCCATGTTTTGAAAACTCAAAAATACATTTTTCATTGCTTTTCCAAGACCATGGTTGTGAAAGCAAAATCCAAAAGGAGCAGTAATCAGACAAATGCTAAGCATACATAAGGAATTTATAATATATAAACTATGTAATTAACAAAAGAGAGGAAGCAATCAGAGCACATACATCTTCATGGTCATCATCGTCATCATCAGAGATGTCATCATCTTCAATCACCAATGCATCATCGATCTCAACAGGAGATATATCCAATTCCTCATCCTACAAAAAACATTCAAAGAGTTAAATCAAAAGCAACACATTCAAGATACTAAATATATGATGTGTCTTGTATGCACTAGTTTCAATTGATTAGCGGGTTAAGAAATGAGCTGCATTCAAATAAGTCCAGTTTTCTTCAGAAAAGGCTACCAAAAACTTCTCGCAAGACTTGATTGATATGAACTGCAATCCACATACAAAAGCAGCGAGTTCCATACCAAGGAATGACCCTCTAAAGACTCCTAAAGTCCTGTACTTTCATTACCAGAACTTATGAAAAAGTTGAACTGATTTTAAACTAGTTTTAGTTACTTGGGAGGTTCATTGAACTAGTTTATTCAGCTAAGATTAGTAAATATTAGATAGCAGTGCAACAAAGTTGGCTGACATCCTCACAGAAAAAGATTTTTAAAATTCTAATGGTTTTGATATTGTGAGTTAAGACTTACGAACAATTTAATCATGGTATCCTTGAACAACACCATACCTCGGAACTAGAATCCCCATTCACTGGTTTCATTTGTGCATCTTTATCAATGGCTGCTCTTCTACGAGCAGCATTTCTAGTTTGAGGTCCTTTTGTCTCCTCCAGGGGTGGTTTGAAAACAGCTTTGCCCTTTCCCTTTGATGTGCTTGTGCTTGTGCTTGTGCATTTCTCTGGTATCGGTTCCTTTCTAGCTGAATCTCCTATATTAACAGATGATCTGGATCTTGAAGAATGACGACGAGTAGCAGAAGCAGGGATAGAGGTCAACGGAGATGATGCACCAGCTCCAGGCTGTGCAGTCCCAGATTCAGAGTTTCCTGCAGATGCTGATGCCTTGTGACCAGTTTCACTTCGCTGCACTCGCGGCCAAAGAAATTCTTCTACGGCAGCTAAACTTGCTAATGGATCAATAAGTACAACATTGGAAGAGTAATCACGGAGAGTCTTTTCTCCTTGGGCCCGACAGAGACGCAACTTAAAAGGTTGAGATAGTGCACTTAATCCAGAAGACAGGCGTGCACCTCCACTAGATGACCTAGTCGAATGGCTCAGAACAACAGGAAAACGCTCCAAGGATGACAAAGCATTTTGAAGCTTCTGAACTAAGACTGCCATGGGCGCCACACCCCCTTCATCAATGCTGGAAGGAAGGGCCAGAATAGCAAATGACTTGAATCTTCTAAGTGCTTGTTGCCGAAGTTTTGGCAGGTTAGCTTCTGAAATTTTCTCCTTAGTAGAATAGCCACAAGAAAAATAATTCAGCAAGGTTGCCACAACACCACTGCCAATAAACTCAAAAGTGGATACACCATCCCCTTTGCCAAGCTCTGCTAGCATCTCGGATATCACCCCAATCAAGTACTCTTCCTTATCTGTGGAGCTGTCAGTAAGACGAGATGCAGAAGCCTTTGATTTTCCCTTTGCTTTAGTCTTTTGGTCATCAACACCAGCATTCAACTTTGTGCAGAGATTCTTCAAGTGTAAAAGGTCATCAGTAACCCCATCTTCGGCAGCCCCGGGATCTGAGGGGAAGTACTTATCTCTGAAATCTTTAGCACATGCACTGACTGCCATTCGCAAATTTGAATTGACCATTGGGATTTCTATAGAACTTGGAGGCGAGCCAGCATTTGCAGAAATAGGATTTTTGGATTCTTCAGATGAATTTGCTTCAGGATTTGAGCTCCCACTGCGACGTTTGTAACGCCTGGAACGTGATGAAATTCCAGGAACAGACTCATTATCCTTTTCAGCAGAAGAACCATGGGCAGGAGCAGTATTTGGATTTCCAGCTAAGATAAGTTGATCTACAGCATAAACCACACCTTCTCTGAAAAAAATCTTGGAGAAAGTCCCAGGAAGTTTTTCCATAAGAATCTCGGCTACTTGAAGGGCAGGAACCAAGACATGTGGATCTTTCCATGCTAACACCCCAGCTAGGAAACTAGACGAACAAATAACACGGTTAAATACTCAAATGACTAAACGTGACAGGTGTATATCAAATGAACAAGCACAGATTGAAGTTGCTTTACCTTGATATGTTTGTTATGCTAAGTAGAGACTGAATCATCTCTGCATTGCTGAAGTGCATTAACTTCCCAATAACTGAGAGACACTTATGGCGAACAGGACTGTTGACACTGGAACCATAAATCTGCTTATCAAAGCAGATGATGCCATTATTATCAACTTCAGTGAACAAAAAACATAATCTAGCAATTTAGACACTGCAAAGTCCACTTAAAAACTGACCTGTATCAGAACAGGAAGGAGGTCCATTCCAAATTGCTGCAAAAGCTCTGGTTGATCATTTAATAATTTCTCACGAGCTGAGACCTCAGGAACATTTCCATTGATATCATCTTGTTTCCCAGAACTACAGGAAGGAGACTTCTTCACAACAGCTCCTTTGACCAGCATACTAGAGCTGGTTGGGAGAGAGATAGTTCCTTGAGGAAGCGGAGGAAGAAGCTCATTTGCCAGATTGACAATCTCAAAAATCTATAACACAGAGTGAAAGAAAATTTTACAACTCATAAAATGAAGCTGCAACTTGGTTCTGAGACTGTTAAATAGGCCATTAAATACTTAGACATATATTTTCAAATACTAAAAGAACTACAAGATGAAAAGAATGTAATAGCACCACAGGACAGAATAAGAAGAAAAAGTAGGTACCTGATCTGCTGGTCGACTTAGAGCAGGAGGAACAGGGGAGTTAGCAGAAACCCCAGAACCTGATAGTATCTCTTTAAGAATGCCACTGACACCAAGAAGAAGTAATGTTTTGGCTCCTAAAGGAGACCCACTTGCACAGGTGGATAGCAGTCGAATTAAACCCTGAATGCCTTGCGTCAGAAAAACAGCCTCCAAATACATGACACGAAAGTAAATGGGCAACATAAGAAATTTTTTACCGTATATGTTGGAGTGCTGAGAGAAGCCTGTCCGCCGCCAGAACTGCTAGTGGAAATGAGAGAGGCAGCTTGCGTGACAAGTCCATGATTACACAGTTCATCTAATTTGTCTGGAGATGAGGCAAAGGCTTCAGCAATCCTTGTCAAACAAACAGAAGCATGCTCCAAAACCTACAAGCATTGCAAATTGCATCAGATGCAGAAGAAAGTAGAAGGTGATGAATTAGCTGCAACTTTGATATAAAACAGTAAGACTACCTTGGCATCATGGTACTGAAGAAGGTTGGTAAGCAGAGGAACTGCTTCCATCACAAAGTCAGCTGCATCTGAAGGAAGTTTCTTGCACATATTTGCAGCAGTAGATAATGCCACTCGCTGAAAACACAACAATGATCAAAAGAGCCTCAATAAGAATGCAAACTAGTCCACAATGTTATAGCATCTCAACATGCCTAGTTAACTAAAAAAGATAGTAGCGAATGACTACCTGAACTCCAGTAGAAAAAAAATCAAGATAAGAAAGCACTGCCATAAGAGCACCAGCACGCAGACATGCAGTTGGGTGCTCTTGAGATATCTTCTTTAGAGCTTGCAGAGACTGCAACATTACAACAGAAGTAGCAGTAAATTTCACTAATAAACTAGCAAAAACCAGCTGATTGCAGTCCATCTGAATAGCATCACAATGCATACAGAAAGAATGCAACTTTACTACTCACTAAAAGCATGGTACAGGTGTAGCTAATCAAACATAAAATCCCAGATGATTTAATCCATTTAATACACTCATAAGCCATCAATGCTGAATGCTATATAAGGGGGAAAACACTTACCATGAATCCCAAATAATCAGCCCATTTAATGCATTCGTGGCCAATCCATTTACTAGCAGGTATAAGAAAAATAAAACTGGGGCATTGAAAAACTAACCTGTTCGGCAAGGTCCATGTACTCAATAGTAATCAACCTTGCAACAAAACACGAAACAGCGCCATAATGAACAACAGCAGCACAAGACGAAGGCAAGACATCACACAAATGCGTAATCGCCCTTGCAGCAAGCAGCATAATATCAGGATTACTCTCATTATTCAACAACCCAACAAGAACCGGAACAAAGGAATCCACAGAAAAAGTACTCAGACTCTCTTCAGTCCCGATAGAAAGCATGTCACAAAGCTGCGTTAAAGCTTCCACTTGCTTCCCTTCTTCTCCATCCGCCCTTAACCCAGACAAAATCTTCTTCAATCTCCCTGATTGATGCGAGCTTGAACCTGAACCCATCACTGGAGAAGGCAGTAAATCATCAAGACCGGCGCCCAACTTTCTCAACAAACCCTGTAAAGCACTACTAGCTGAAGTCAAATTCTGATGGAAAGCACCAATTCCACCGCCTTCGCTGTCATCATCATCGTCATCATCGACATTAGGGTTGTTGTTGTCATTTCCAGAATCCAAATTATTACTGATTTCCCTATTTTCACGTGAAACCCTAACTTCATGTTCTTTCTCTTTGCCTTTCTCCGATTCACTATTGCTATTATTGTTCCTATTCCGACGCGAGCGAGAAGAAGAAGACGATTCAACAGGTGTGGTGGAATCCATGGGGAGAGGGTGAGCACGAGTGGAGCGAGAGCGGGTAGCGGTGGCGGTTGTTGTCGTTGCTGTTGCGGTGGCAGCGTTGGTGCGGGGTCGTTTGTTGGAGCGAGTAGTGGTACCGGTGGTGTTGGTGGCGGCAGATGAGGAGGCCTCCGCCCGTTTTCGGCTACGAGTTTCCATACAAGAACTAAACCTCCAGAATTACATCCGTCATCGCGCAATCACGCGCCACCGGATCGCGTAGTAATGATAAGAACTAGATGCATCAGATTGAAAACCCTAGAAATTTAGGGAATTTGGAAAATTTTGATCGAGAGAGAGAGAGTGAGAGATAGAGAAGGAGAGAAGAAGTGTTGGGGGTGGAGAGAAACCCTAAAAATAGAACGAATAAAGAGGTGATGAGGAGTGAGGTAGACGACTTTTATAGGTGTTTGTTGGGAAATGATTAAAAAAAATCAAAATAAACTACGTTGTAGAGGGATTGTATTTGTTCTATCGTATGTTCCTTTGCCGTTAAGGTTTTTTTTTTTTTTTTCCTGAGTTTATCGTTGTGCAAGTAAATATTTTGGGACCAACATTTCTGTAATATTAATAGATGACTAAGCTCTTATATTCGAGATTAACTTTCATGAAATCAATGAAAAACAATCTCTTTTTATTTTCATCAAATCCAAGTCTCAATCTTTCTTGGAATACAGGGCTGCGTTGTTTTTTTATAAACAATTTTCATTGAATAAAATATATTACATGTACCAAATAAAGTTAATGAAAATAATATTAGTAAATAAATATATCTGTATTGAAAATTGTAAATGTAATAAATTATATGTGTGTTTAGTGTTGATTTGGGATATAAAAATCCATTGGATCACGAAATATTATATGTTTTTAGAGTGATTATTTAGCTGGAAAATTCATGTTTTTTTTTTATTTACGTGGGGTGTCCGGACCAGCTTGTGCGCACCACGACTAATCCCCACGACCCATTGAATACCCTGCAAACCCAGTAGGCATGTAAGGCACCGCGGGGGTGACAGGCGTGCACGTCAGGGCTCGAACCCAGGTGCAGTAGAAGGAGACAAGCCCCTTCCACCGCTAGACCAAGCCCTAGAATGCGACAATTCATGTTTTAATAGGATAGCATGCTTGAGTGCTACAGTAGATTTGTAAAATAAATATATATTAATAATATTATAATTGTGAATCAGTGTTTGATAAGTAATAAAAATTAAAAATGTGATAGAATTAATATTTCATTACAAAAAAAAAATTATGTTGGTGATAAAAAATTTAAAGACTGAGCAAAATAATTTATAACGATCTACAGTATTTTGTGAAGAAATATATAATACTTTCGCTACATGATTTAGTTTTTTTGTTAATAAATGGCAAAAAAAATTATAAAGCTAAATATTCTACTAATTTAATATTAAAAAACCAATAAAGATAATTCTCAAAGGCAAAAGCCTCATGAGTAAAAATGTTGTAACAATTGATAATGTTTTGTTAGGAAAACTGTAGTGTTTTTTGGAATAAAATTTACAAAGATAATTTTAGAAAAAATCATTTAAATAAATATTGTAGCAATTCACAGTGTTTTATGAGAAAAGTTACAACGTTTTTTCCATATAAATTAGTTTTATTATAATTATATTTTTTAACCAACTCAATATAAAAAAAAATCGACAAAGATAATCTTGAAAAAAATTATATGGGAAAACACTATAATAATTCACAGTGTTTAAAAGAAAAAAAATTACAAAGTTGAATTCTTAATAAGCTTGATATTAAAAAAATAAAATCAACTCATATAATTTTAGAAAAAAATAACAAAAAAAAAAAAATCATGTTGGGAGACATTATATCAATTCACAGTGTTTTGTGATAAAAGGTACAGTGATCCCCCGCATGATTTAGCTTTATTTGTGATAACTTGTAATTGTAATTATCAATCAGCTCGATATTAAATAAAAAACATTAACAAATATAATTTTAAAAAAATCACAGGAAAAAAAACATATCAAGAAACACTCTGACAATCTATAGTATTTCATGAAAAAATATATAATGTTTTCTTCACATGATTAAGTTTTATTACAAAATTAAATTCTAACCGACTTAACATTAAAAAAATAAAATTAACAAAGATATTTTTGGAAAAAAATATTATAAAAAAAAACATAAAAGAAACTGAAAAAAAACCATATGGAAAAAAACACTATAGCAATTCATAATAATTTGCGAAGAAAGTTATGTTGTTTTTCTCATGTATTATAACTATAATTTTTAACCAACTTAATATTAAAAAATAAAATTAAAAAAGATAATTTCTTAAAAGATTATCAAAAAAGAAAAACAAAACAAAAATTATACGGAGGAACACTGTAGTAATCAACAATGTTTTTTTAAAAAATTACAAAACTAAATTCTCAACATGCTAAATATAAAAAAAATCAATAAAAATAATTTTACAAAATAGAAAAACTATATAGGAAAACGTTGTAGTAATTTACAGTATTTTAAAAAGAAAAAAATCATAAAATAAAATTTTTAACTAGCTTAATATTAAATAAATAAAATCAAAAAAATAATTAAAAAAGAAAAAAAGAAAAAGATGAGAACAAAAAAGAAAGAAGAGGAATGCATTCTTAATTGTTGTTGTAATCTATGGTGCATTGGCTATGGGTAAATAATGAATCACCACACTTTTTAACTTATTACTTGATATACGTAAATACATGTAAAACAAAATCAAACTCGAAAGTCCAATTAATTAGAAGTGATACTGTTTTGCTGTGTAATTCAATTTTTTAAACCAAAAATTCATGTACTTGTTCCTGGCACAATTTTTTCTTCCTTGGTTTTATTTATTATGGATACCTTTTCACTTGCATCACATGTTTATAGTTTAAGATTGTAATAATAGTGGTAGTTTAAAGTATTTTTTGTTTTAAAATATATTAAAATAATTTTTTTAATTTTTTAAAAATTGTTTTGATATTAACATATTAAAATAATTTAAATATGTAAAAAATTATTTTAAATAAAATTTTAAAAAACACGGTTTTGTACCACATTTTCAGATATACCCTTGGTCGGTGAGAATGGCCAGACAAAACGAGGGGATTTATACATAGGCAGGTAACAGTTTTTTGTATCTGGTAATTTAGTAATTATTGTTTTTTAAAGTATTGTTTTCGTTTAAAAATATTAAAATGTTATTTTATAGAAAATAATTATTTTTGATATAACACGCAAAAAAAAAACTAAAATAATTAATTAAAATTTAAAAAATATTTTAATAGCACGAAAAAAAAAACCAGGTATATTTGATTTGCATGCCAGTGAAAGACCTGATTTTGAGGCAGGCCGATGTGTTGTGTGGAGCCGCTGGCTCATTATGGGAAGCATTGCTATGTACAGGGACCAGGCTCTTGAATTGCTTAAGGACGAGCCTCCTTTTATGAAACCCATTTCATGATTCAATGCAGGGTATGGCCTGGCCCAAGCGTTGCCCGTCAGGCAAATAAGTTGGTCTCGCTCTCTTGGTGAATTTTGTGGTCTCGAGGCTCGTTTGGTTTTATGTAGAAAATAGGCATTGAAAAATTTAGAGTTAGACATGTTTATATTTACGTTTTAAAATTATTTTTTATTAAAATTATTATTTTTATTTATTATAAATTAATATTTTTAAATTATTTAAATATGATAATATCAAAAATAATTTTTTAAAAATAAAAAAAATATTATTTTGATGTATTTTTGAATAAAAACCACTTTAAAAAATAACCACAACAACACTTCAAAACAAGTTTTGTTCCTCTAGATATACTTGGTGACTTCAGTGATCATATAATTAAATTAAAATAAATTTATTCAGTATATTTAATATAGAAAAAAGGCACTAACATCATCGATAAGTGATTGCTTTATACGCTGAACTGTGAGGGATTTTTACTATATGTTTTTAACTATTTATTACCATGCAAATTTTTGTATTTTTTTAATTTAATCTTTAAACTTATTTTTTTGCAGTTTAATTCTATTTAAAAAAATAATTTTAAATTTTGTTAAAAAACAGGATTAAAAAATATCGGACTGCATGAAAAACGTGGCAAGCATGAGCAGTGTGCCCTAAATTTCCAAAAATTACACTCTGGTTCTCCAACTTAAACAATCATGCAAATTATACAACTTTAGTCCATCAAAATTATTTTAGTTCTATTTTGATATAATAGTTTGTTTTTGTTGTTTTTTGGTTCCTAACTGAGAGAAAAAATAAAGATCGTGAATTTTTAGTGGTATAGGTAAAAACATATCACTGACATCAATTTAAACCACTAGAATAGTAGGTATTTGTATCAAAATATTTTATTAAATAAGGGGAGTTCATATTATGTGTGTTACACCTTAAGATTTCATGAAAAAAACATATATGATCTTGAGTTGATTTTTTATTTTAGGTTGATTTTGATTTTTTATATTTTTATTTCTTGAAGTTATGAATAAATTTATTATAATTTCTAAGATATTTTAGGTTAAAAGCAGACTGAAAAATAATTTTTTTATATATATATATATAACACAAACCGCGATGATGACCAAAATCTAAAAAAAATAAACAACTTATTGTTTATTTTCTTCCTAAAAAAGTAATGGATGACAAGTCATTCGTCCAAGTGCTTTTTTTTTTAAAAGTAGCTTGGTCACACAGACTTATACCTTAATGAAATGGGTCAAAGTGGGCTGCTCTTGCTTGCCAGACTTAATAATGTCCAACCCTTTTTTTTCACTTCAATTAATTCTTTTTTATATATATTTATATTAATAATCATCCTCTCTTTTACTTTGTTTATAGATTTTCTTTTAAATAATTATGAGTTTTTGGTTGTGCATTTAATTTTTAATGAGGTTTTTTTAACTCATTTATCATTTTTTCTTATATTTTATATAGATGACTTATGTTTTTTCAAATAAAAATTATTTGTTTTCAAATGATATATCTAATACGTGTAGTCTTATATACTATTCATCCTTTTCTTTTTAATTTATTTAATCAATTCAACATGTTTGTCTATTTTGATTATTATTTGATTAAATAAAAAATTGTTTTAAGAAACAAAAATTACTAAACATGCTTGAGTAAATGTTCTATCTCGCGATATTAAATATTTTGATTTATATTTATTTCTCGGGTTTTAAAGTTTGTTCTTAGATGTTATTGATTTCTTTTTATTTATTTATCAGGACATATAGTTCTCAGTTTATTTGATTACATGTGTATATAAATTTTTTTAAACCATACAAATATATTAAAAAACTTTCATATATATTTTTTTCATAAAAATAAAAATACATTAACATATAATGCGATAGAGTATAAGTTACGTAACTAGTAAGATATATATAGCATCTATAAAAATAAAAAATAATAGA